TCGTTTCTGCCGACCTGCGTATGACGATAAACTACGTCCAAGGCCTCTGATCAGGAGCTTTTGAGGAGCGTGGAACCACCTCTTAATTGCTGGTGTTCCCAGGCCCACCCTGATCCGCGGTGGTACCACCTGTTAGGGTCCCAGCTATGGGCAAATAGTTAACCCCCAACCTGGGGTCAAAACACTATGAAAGTGTAAAAATAGGTTTTAATACCAGAAATACTTTGTAAAAAAGTTATTACCAGCAATAAATTTTTGAAGAAAAAAATTATTACCTGCAATACATTTTTGAAAAAATATTACTAGGAATAGATTTTTTTTTAAGGAAAAAATATTACTAGCAATACAATTTTGGAAAAAAGATATTACCAGCAATAAAAATGTTGTCGGCATTAAATAACCTAATGAGGTTGATATGGCGTAAAAGAAACGAAACGAAATCAAATCATCGTTTCTGTTATAGTCACACACAATATATTTGAATAAAGGTTTTCTTGGCTATTATCAGCAATATCTGTTAGTTTATCTAATAGGGTTAGGATCTCTGTAATATTTATTGATAGTTTATCTTGGCATAGACTTCGTAAAATATTTTCTGACGTCATTCTGACTAAAGAAATTTTTCATATAACTAAGTGGGATATTGTTCTATCGCCTAGTTCTATGTCTGCTAATACTTTATTGTGGATAGTGGAGCTTATCTTATGACAACGTCCGTTCTAACCATAGTTTTATTTCACCTTATGCAAGGATTGTATGACAATGCACAGATCCTTAATATATACAAAATAAATTTGTATATGACACACTATATAGAGGGTGCATCAAAAATACTTTTACACACTTTGGAGATGGGTTCCTCACACCAAAACAAGGACAAAAGTCCATATAAATATATTTCCTAAAATGCTTCGTTTTGAGCTGTTTAAAGAATGTTTACGGTAGATGGCGCTGCGTTGACATATAGACTAGGTTACATTTGTTATTCGTGTATAATTGTGGCTAGTCTTCATCGTTTAAACTATTTAGTAGTTAGTTGGCTTAGAAGTGAGCGCTTAACAATGGTAGGCTATTCATATCGTAAGCAGGCAGATATGATTTTTACATAAGGTCGCGAATGATAAGGGATGCGAAGTTTTCTTTAAACTTACAGGGCTAAGTAACACAACTGGCAGCCCCCAGGGGCTTCTCTTGGTAATAGTAAAGAGGAAAAAGATGTGGCTTGTCGTACACCACAATACTCTACTCAAGACGGTCCTTCAAGGTATCTTGGAAGCGGGTGGACGTAGGTGAAATCAGTCCAAAAGATGGATGGATAACATCAAAGAATAGACCAAGATGGACATTCCGACGTTGTTTCGTGAGGCAGATCTGGTGGCAGCGGCTGGCTGCGTCATTGTCGCTCATTAGTTTAAAGTTTCCTCTAGTGTCAACGCAGGATTGTGTAGACGTCTATGGTCGCCAGTGGGTGGTAGAAGGAGGTAGGTATTGAATGTGTCTTTGTGAGACTGTGTGGGTTCCACATATATCGTATTTCGACTCTGAGTATGTTACGATGACTGCAGCATCGGAGAATGGGCAAAGTTAAATCATATGTTCCGATTTATGTCTGTTTTCCATCTCATTATATACATATTTAGACACCCACTTCAAAAGTGCCGCTTCGCTTCTCATTGGCTCACGATATCCAGTTTTTGTTTCTGATTCTCTCGCTAGACTATGATGTTCGTATCTTAGTCGGGATGTCTTCTGATTGGTTGGGCGAAATATAACTTCAAGGCATAGCGATTCTGAATATACATCTATTTTTGGAGACGGTGAAATTTTTGTCTCTTGGTCATTATTTGTTCATTTTTTTTCTATTACTACAAATTCCTGCAACTGTGATTATCCGGATTTTCCTATAGTTTTATTATGGCAGCAATTAAACTATCAAATGGGATTTCATCGGTAACATTATCTCAAAGATCTTCAACCTCCATAATTATCTCAGCTGGGCCAATTTCTTCACCGTAAGTAAATTTTTGTTTCTTTGATGTTATTCATTTAACTGCAATGACTGGTTGCAGATGTAAAATTCATTACTTTCTTTATCAGTTAAAGAGTGGTAGATGAATAAAAAGTGAAGCTTCGATAGATTCTTGTACTAGCAGTGACATCATTAGTTAAATATTTGGCTTTATGGGAAAGTTAATTTAAGAAGTTTTTAAGAATATTACCTTTGTATTTGATTTGGAATCACTTACATATTGCAATCGCTTCGGTTGAGTCATAAATAATTTCTGTTTTTCTTTTTCAACTATATTGTTAAAAAAAATAAAGTACAATTACATTTTATTCAATTATATATATATTGTTATTTGCAATGATTAGTTGTCACTTGTCAGGCAACTCTTCGATAACTTTTGATAAAGATTCTTCTTGTTCTAATGTGAAAAGGTTTTTCGACAAACACTTGAATCTGGTTTTCATTAGATTGTTGCGGACCCGGTAGCGTGCAGTGCTGGTTTATTAAAAAGTGGCCTTGTGCCAGACACTACACCAAACTACCGAATCCACAAGCAAAGTAGAAATATATTGCGTGAGTGAACTCAGTGAGGAAAAGGGGTCAATCAACAAGTGCATAAATAATAATACAAGTAGATAGCCGGAATTAAATGACAAAAGGCGTCTGGTTGAAAAACATATATGAAATTTTTATTACATTAGAACAAGTAAATTGTCTCGTCGTTCGAGACCATCAGTGATAGTGTTCCGCGCCAAAACAGAAAATAAGATGGACAAGGCGGGAAAAGGTTTCATCAGAATGAAAGTTCTGGAAAAAAAACTTGTTAACGCAAGGTGTATGTGTACACAAATAGAAAAGTACTCACTGTGTAATTTGGTATTGTGAGTGTATGTAATATTTTTTTAGGTACTGGTTCAAAGGAGTTAGAATGTTCGAAGGTTGTTCGCATCAAGACAAGTTGTCCTGGAAAAATATATACTGACGACTGTGTCGTGGGTCTCCACGTTTTCCAGTTAAAAACGGAGAAGTTTCAAAGTAGTTGGAAATAAGATATTCCGGCCCGCGTATGGGTTAAGGGCACGGAATAAATGAGTGAACCGTCTAGGTTGAAGATCAGGCCGCAACTCCGGTAGTGAATGGAGGGAAGTTCGAAAGTTGTTCGCATCAAGACAAGTTGTCCTGTAAAAATATATACTGACGACTGTGTCGTGTATCTCTACGTTTTCTAGTCGAAAACGGAGAAGGTTCGACCTGCGGGTTACATCAAGACGAGAATGAGTCTTGGGAAAGTGTAAGGTCGACATGTTGAAATTTTTGGTAGTTAGGAATAAGATATTCCGGGCCACATATGGGTTAAGGGCACGGAATAAATGAGTTGTCCGTCTAGCCAGCTTGAAAATCGGGATGCAACTGGTTGGAACGCTGGGCGTCCGTGACGTCAAGAAAACGCGCGGGAAAAAATTCAAATTCAGTTCTAGACAGCTATCAGGAGTAGCCAGCAAGAGGATGGCTACTGCTATGTCTAATTGAACGAGAGAGGAAGGGGTGCAATCTGCGCGCGCGCACACACGCACAAGTGTGGTAGGAATGGAGGAAAACTCGCACGCGCATAAAATGTTGGTGGAATTACTGTGTTATTCCACAAGATAACGTTTGCCAAATTTTTACCTCCTCAAAATTCCACAAGAACACTCGGTTGGAGATCATTATAGGAAATGAACTCTATTTCCAACACAGTTGCATATCATATTAAAACCCGTTATAACTTTATTTTCTACCCAATAACAAACAATATTACAAACATGCCAAAAAGATTCTACAATACAACTCACCGTTTAAATCAAAGTGTCTATTGGTTAGAAATTTCATCACCAAGTGAAATATTTGACCAAGCAGAGAAAGCTAAAACCCTATTTTTATCGATTCTAGTTTCGGGAAAAAATTTTCTTATAAAAACCCAAAGATCTCGACTTTCAGAGAACAGAGGTCAGACTGTCTTCAAGCCGTCCAAACACAAGAGAAGACGTGGCTATATAGCTTCTTCCTTTTCGTTCCAGCGCGTGCTGAACGAATCATGTGTCAGCGACTTCAAACGAATTATCTCTAACACGGCAGAGACGATCAGTGAATATTCGCTGACGATAGAAGTCTTTGCTAAACTATAGATTTGTTTGTAAACCAACTATTCAAAGACTGTAACTCAACTAAGGACTATTTTAAATATTTTTTTTTTACTCTTTTGAATTCCTGTACATATTTTTGTAAATACTGACGATTTATTTAACAGGCATACCCATGTTTTCTTTATTTTTATTTTATTATTTTGGAATTCGAACTTTTAATATAAAAAAGTCTCGACGATTGAATTCCCGACATCATTATTTACAAATAACAAAACTCTTCTATTCTAATAGCAGATTTAGCTTTTTTACCTATGTGTTTATGGATTGATTATCACGGGGTTTTTCGCAAACTTGACAAAATTTACCGCAAGAAGAGAGTTTGTTATTTTAAATTTTATTTATTTATTACTAATTTTTCGGATATTAGTTTCCTTCCAATCTGTTTGTCTGTATTTATTATCAACTCATCGATCCAGCGCTTGAGATAAACTCTGATTCTGAGAATCAAACAAACAGGATAGAAAAAGGTGCAGAGATCAGATTTACGTTCACTTTTCATTTCATCGGTTAGCGAGCTAGACTAGCAGACGAGTATTTATTGTACGACTTCAAATCTCTCTGACTGTCCTGCACTCGACTACGTTTAAATTAAAAGTTTGTAAATACTCATATGATATCAGGGGCAAAATTTCTAATCTCTCAATATTTTATCATTTTTTTTAAATACCTTATGCTCAATCAGTTATAATTTTTTTTTTAAAAAAATGATCGACCGATATTGCAAACAATATAGCCTCCCTTGTCATAGGCATGATATATACAGACGAAATAATTTCTCCCTGCATTAGAAATCATGTGATCTGTCCAACATGGCAGACGAAATGAGCGACGACTCTGAGAATGATGCAGAATTTTTGGAATACAAACTCTGCTCTTTCCAGAGTGACTTCCAATTGGACAAAATACGAAATATTGTTCTCTGTACACGTAATCGTCTTCTTGTCATTCATTATGGAGACGGCAAACTATCTATTGTCCGAGCCGGTAATTACGACCAGGAACTGAAGGCCGAAAGTGATGTGAGGTAAGCCAAAGCTTTAAACTTACAAGTTAGAAATTCTGGTGCCTTTCTCCGGACATTTTATTATAAATATCTTAAGTTTGTTTATAGGTAAAGTAGTACATTTTAAAAGGTTTGGTTGAGATCTCAGAACTGTTTGTATGGGAGATACAAATTTTAGTAACTTCATTTTTTTCCGTAAAGTAAACTAAACACTACTAACTTACTACAGCTGTACTGAACAAAAAGAAGTAGATCTCGTTTTTTAAATTATTTATTTCTCAATAATAATTTCTTTTATAAGAATAGTACACGCATTTTAAAATTTGTATCGTCAAAAAAGTGAAAAAAGGCATCTGAATGTTTTTATTGTGTTACAAGAAGGGGAGGTCGAGTATGGTCTTGTTCTTGTTTGTTTTCAACCCTGATTCCCCACCTAAATTCCTTCATCCATAAACAAATATTTATCGTTTCTTGTTTTTTTTTTCTTTTTACATTAGTCATTTTTCTCTTGAAGAATAGTGGGCCTTGAATAATATCAATTTTCTACGCCATCCGAAGAAGTAAAGGAAATAATTTCGTTTTCTTTCTTGGTTATTAAACAAAATATTCCTTAAAAAATTTTTTTAAATTTGAGAGACTTTTCGAAGATTCTTTACTGTCAGTAAAGTTATTTTCTGTTTGTTTACATTTACAAACACTGACTATATTTGGGGATTTAAAAATGTTGAATTAATAATTTAAATAACTAATTAATTAATAAAGGAAAGCTTAGTTCATTGTACAAAGAAGTAATTTTTCTTTTACAACTTAAAACTTACTTATTTTTCTTAGAGCTAAAAAAAATGTAAATTTCAAGATATTTTTATGTTTTTAAAAATATAAGTCCGAGATCCTAAATCAGTCATATCTCAAAAAAAAAAATGTTATTTAATTTCATTCGTAAGCAACTTTTTTGTCTTCGTCTGCGGTGCAGTTGGGAATTTATATATTTATTTTTTTATTAAAAAAAAAAAAATGTAGGTATAGCCATCAGAATTACGATTACTTTTTTTTTTTTTTTTTTACCCAATTCTTAAAAAAAAAAAAAAGATCCTTTAATTCATTTGTCAGTAACAGAAAATAAGTTTTAATTATTTTTTTTTTTTTTTTTTTTTTTGGGACAAAAAAATACTGTTCATAGTGGACTACTGGAGAAATCATTGCGGTTTTCAGGCATATAATTCGCTAAATGCACCTTCAAAATCCGTTATTGGGTTATTATTCTTTGAAATATAAATATCAGTTTCAAGTAACCCATAATTGATTTTATTTACTCTTAATTTTAATTTTAAGACCCCCGTAAACACTATATTGAATAATTACAATTATTGCGGTTGGGGACGATATACGGTTTAAAAAAGCTGCTATTATTAATTTAGATGTCCCCACTCTACAGTTTTTCGATATTCTACTGATACTTGAAATCTAATTTCAAATTTTTAAATTAATATTATCCACATTATTATCGAATATCTTTTTTTTTTCTTTTTTTAAATATTAGCTTCGAATTTTAAGGCTTTATTTTCTTTCTGATCTGTGCTTGTTGTGAACCAGTTTTTTTCTGCTGACGTTAAACTACCATTTTATTTCTCTGTACAATCTCCTGAAAACTATAAGTGAAAGTATCTCTCATTTTTACTTAGAATTTAATTATTTTGCAGCAGTTTCTTTTTCTACATTCCGCTTTATTTATTAAATGATAAGTTGCATGTGATGACCCTTGAGGAATTTTAACGCCTTAAAACTTGATTATCTCCCCTTTTTCCTTTTCATGTTGACTTTAAGAAAAAAGGGAAGAGATTTATGTTTTGTTTTTGTTTTTTTTCTCCTTCTATTTTCTTTTTAATATAACGCTTTGCAGAGAACCCAATTATCATATTCAGAGTAATTTTGAGACCTTTTAAAACTAATCGAATTTCTTTTCGGCTTAAACCTTGTACACTGGTTGGATGCAACATAGTGATGTCTTTTTTTTTTTTTTTAAATTGATTATCATAAATTAGAAGCCTTTAATGTTAATGGATAACAAACAAATATTCGTGTAGTCACTGTCGATTTGTAATAGTTAAAAAAAAGATTCATCATGAAAGGGTAATTTTTTTTATTTTTATTTTTTTTATTTGTGAGATATAGAAAACACAATGTATTTCTATATATTTTGTTTGTTTAACATTGTTTTCACAGTGTGCACAGTTACTATACTATGATCCTACCAGGCCACACACATTTTCAAATTTTAAGCAGAAAGTTGATCCTGATGTAAATGATCCATCATTTAAAAATAGAGGAAAGGAGGAGAAAGAAGATTTCTAATCTATTTCTCTTTAGAGGCACTAATGAAAAAGTCAAAATGAAATATGCAAAGAAATGAACATTTACAATGACAGAAATATTATTACAATATGCAGATTATATAAAATACAATATAGACCTTGCACAAAATTTCATGGCATAGAAGTTAACTTTTGTGCAAGAATTGGAGTAAATGTTTCTCCTCACTTTAGATGTGGAAAAGCACCAAGTCCTGGGGATTCTAACCCTGCAGCAGCACCTCCCTTATTGCAGTAAGAGTGGGGGTCAGTGTAATATCGATGTCAGCATTCATGAGTACAGGGGAAAAATTTTTGTCCTTGGCACATATGTATGTGTATGGCACTCGACCACATTAAAACAACCTTGTGTCACGCCCTGCCTTAGTGGAGAAGCTGGGTAAATATAACTTGCAAAAAATTTTCCTTGTGCACCTTAAACCATCAAGGTAGATTAGCAGTTCTTTGCAATACAAATCTGTTTTCTTTTAAAATGCAACAGTCCATGAAAAACACATTTTTTTTTTTTTTTTTTTTTTTAATTAACAAATGAATTTTAACAACTTTCTCTTTTGAGCAACAGTTCATACAAATCAATTTCTTAACAACAAAAGAAATTTACTTACTTTGAAAAGTTCACATTTCAAAATATCGAAGGTTCAAAGGTTGAAAGTCAAAGGGGATGAGAATGTGTCAACCTACCTCTGGGTTCTTCAGAAAAAATATTCATGGTTTTAGAACAGGCATTCTCAAATATGAGATAAACTCTCGCAAGTTTAGAAATGATGTTCTTTGTAAAAAGAATTCTTGTAGGTTTTTAAGGGTTCTTTTTCCTTTTCTTTCTTCATCTCCAGCAGATGTAGTTGAATCCTTTCTATAGTAATAGTAGGTGTGGATTTAACCTCATATGGTCAATTATTTTGTCCAAGTTTTCCCTCTTATATAGCAAACAAATGACTTTAATGGGATCAAAGTCCTTGGTGGGGCATATACTTATCTTCATTGGTTAGAAAATTTGAGAAACCTTATTCAATTCAAATTTGGCTGTTTTTGGACAAGCTCATACTGTAAAATTTTGTCACAGAAAGTTTAAACAGTCTGGCCTCATTTAGGTGGGGTTTTTATGACATCAGTTGGGAGCTTTTTTTTTTTTTTTTTTTTTTTTTTTTTTTTTAACTGTCTTGCTTTATTTTGGTGGTTTCATTTTTAGTAAGATTCTAATTTTCTTAAATAGTTTTTCATACAATTCAATATTATGTTTTATTAAAAATGATTTTTATATTAATTTTTACACTATTCCAACCATTTCTTAATTTTTCATACAATTTTAATATCTTTATTAAAATAGTTTCTATATTCATTTTTAGACAATTCTAACATTTTAATTATTTTTTAATTTTTAATTAATTTTTTATATCATTTTTTTGTTAATTTATACATTTTTGACAAATTTTTTTAATATCTTAAATAATTTCAATTTCTGTGTATGGTTTTTTTTTTTTTTTTTTAAATGTATTTAAATAAAATTTTTTTTTTTTTTAGTGGTATATTGTCTAATAAATTGAACTTCAGTAATCTATGAGCCTTTTTGTTGACTATGATTAAAAAAGAAAATAATATCATTTAATTCACAATATCTCAAAAGTATATTTCCATTAAAATGTCTGATAATTGAATCTATATCTCCTTTATTTGAAGAAACATTTAAAAAGTTTCATTTGCAAATGATAATCAATGTCAATATTTATAACATTCTATAATATTACCACAAATATAACAATTCAAATATATTTCTAATGGATATCTAGGCATTTCAGCAGTTACCTTTTAAACTAACTTGTTTAGAATATTTACGATTTTCAATTACATATCTGAAGTTCTGCAATAAATTCTCTCTTGAATATTTTCTCCCCTAGATTCTACACAATTATTCTACTTCTTTTATATGAATGACAATTAAGCTTTTCCTACCAAGAATCAGAGTAAAGTATCTGCCCAATCCCAGGTTCCAAGCATGACAGTAAAGCCACTAAAACACAAGGGGTTACTGGGTGTGGAAGAATTAGAAACACAAACATTACTAAGGAGTGAGAACAAAAGAGGAGTCCCAATAGATAGTAACTGACATGGCATTTAAACTTTTGCATTTAAAGTTGGTTGGAAAGCATGAAACCAGAAGAGAGTTCCACAAGCAAGAAGTGCAAGAAAAGAAACAGCTAGCATGGAACTTATGGTTACATTTAGCCACCTTCACTGTAAATTGATGAGACCTTGTCACTAGTACTGTGCTTAAAATTTATGAAGTCTAGGTGTCATAACAAAGTGTTCATCTGAACAATTATCATGAAATATTTATAGAAAATGGAGGCAATTTTATGGCAGTGGGAAAGTGACTGAAACCAAGATGCCAGGTCAGGACAAATAATATTGCAGATTCCTTTTTGGATTTTATCACAGGTCTCTAAATATATAGCAGGAGCACCAAACCATACATGGCAGCAATATTCTAAGCATGGGTGAAAGACAGACTTATATTAAGATAAATTCTGGAGAGAAAAATTGTCTCACACAACACGGTGAAACAACTTTCTTATCAGCTAACCTAGCAATGGATTTAATATAGCCTTTCCACTTCATTTTAGCCAAGAACATTAGCCTGAGAAGTTACAGTAA